TTTCTTCATTGAATTTAAATGACCTGAACTTAGCTTTATTATACCCTCTCCTCAAAAGAGTGGGGGGTGTACTGTTTTCCCCTTGTGTTTCTGTTGGTCTGTAACAAATTTTTGTCACAGTTTTCTCAGCAACTACTCTTTAAAGATGCCTGAACACTCATTGTTTGGGCATGCCATATGAAGGGATTCATTTCTGTAGGAATCAAATGTCAACTTCTTGTTTATTATTGCATCTGTCTGTACCAAATTTTCATCGCAGTTTTCTCAGCAACTTCTCATCAAAGATGCTTGAAATTTTAGCATATTCTTTGCTCAGGGATGTCATATGGTGGGATCATTTTTGTACAAATCTGATGTCAAGTTCCTGTTTATCCATGCATCTGTCCATTACCAAATTTCCATTCACATTAGAGCAGGGGTATTACTACTTGTAGTTACATATAGCACTGGCTGACAGACTTTTTGTTATTATAATAATTCTGGTACAAAGTTGCACAAATAGTTTTATTAATGTGGAGGTTACATATCAAAATTAAGTTTAAGATAACAGTTAAACTACAAATGATTGAGTTTCCAAACTTATCAATATAAATACACACTTATCACCCAAAGAGAAATGAATGAAAATGGAATGGACATGATGATATTCAATACAACCAATGAAAATCGATTTACAAATCAAATCAACCTTTTAACACTGTTAATTTCACAAAACAAGAGGCCAATGGGCCACAATGCTCACCTTAGTAACTTTGGCCTTACTATTCTTCATCAGATTTTCCTTGTCGGGTCATACTTATTGTAGCCCACCCAACCCCATGGGTCATGATAAAACAATTTAAAATCTACACTACCTCTGAAAACTTCCACATAAGACTTAGCTTTTCTGGTCTAGTGGATCTTTAGAAGAAGATTTTTAAAGATTTTATTATATATTTCAATGTAAAACTTTCCCTATAGTGCCTAACCCTACAGCTGGTGGCTTTGATTTGAACAATTACAATCTACACTACCCCAGAATGCTTCCACATAAGTTTCAGCTTTTCTGAACTGATGGTTCTTGAGAAGAATTTAAGATATTTATCCATTACATTTAAATGTAAAACTTTATTCTCTTTTGTGGCTCCACCCAACCCCTAGGGGTCACAATTTAAAATCTACAATACACCAGGATGCTTCCACATAAGTTTCAGCTTTTCTGGCCTAGCTAGTGCTTCTCGAGAAGAAGATTTTTAAAGATTTTTCCATAATATTTCAATGTAAAACTTTGATTCTCTATTGTGACCCCACCCTATCCCTGGGGGTCATGATTTGAACAGTTTAATATTTACACTACCCCAGGATGCTTCCATATAAGTTTCAGCTTTTCTGACCAAATGGTTCTGGAGAAAAAGATTTTTAAAGATTTTTCACTATATTTCAATGTAAAACTTTGATTCCCTATTGTGGCTCCACCATACATGTACTCCCAGGGACCATGACTTAAACAATTTAAAATCTACACTACCTTAAGAAGTTTCCACATAAGTTTCAGCTTTTCTGGCCTGGTGGTTCTTGAGAAGAAAATTTTTCAATGACCCCACCCTAATTTTGTCTTTTCTTGATTATCTCCCCTTGTAATGAGGCTTGGCCCTTCATTTTAAGAATTTGAACTCCCCTTTACCCAAGGATGCTTTATACCAGTTTTGGTTAAAATTGGCCAAGAGGTTCCTGAGAAGAAGTTGAAAATGTGAGACGTTTACAGACAGATGCACATCAGGTGATCAGAAAAGCTCATTTGAGCTTTCAGCTCAGGTGAGTTAATAACTCTACAATTTAAAAAAAAAAACTCAGATGAATTTTATACCAAAATTTGATAAGCACATCATACATGTACATGTGTTAATATCGACACTAAGTATCAAATATGATATCTACAATGTAATTGTATCAACAATGCCTATAAATTTAACTTATAAGCTTGTCAATGACAAAATCTTAAACATCCTACATAAGAAAGATTCAAATAAATAGCAGTTTAGGCTGAATTAAATGCATAAAATTTTTCTTAGAAAAATAAATGCAAATGCACAATTTTTAGAGCCCCTGTATACAGGATGAAACACATTTTATGTTGTGCTTTCAATCCATGGTGCAACTTTTCAGCAATATCTTCCAATGTGAGATAGGTCTAAAACAGAGGTCCTGGTTAGACCTGATGACATAGAATTGTCACTGATAGTTAGGGATATAGTTCCCCGAGCTTGTTGCAGATACACTGCTATCGCTGCTTGGTACATAACTTGGTCGAAATCCAGACCTCTTTTGAAGTTCCTTGGCTGCTTTATGCATTTTGTCCACAAATTCTATTCCTGTAAAGACAATAAAATCAGCCATAAATTACATCTATCTATTCTAGAGAACTGTTAGGACATGGCTTTGGTAATCAACTACTTGGAAGTACTGTAAGCAATAGCGTTGAAAATTAAGACAGTTTTTACCTGGTTAATAATTGAATAATGATCATTAATTTTTAAGGAATTTCTACAGACTGTCGAAATATAACAATAAGTGTGAATAAATGTTACGGATTTTTCTTTTCTGAGAACTCAATGTGTCTTTATCATTACGGCTTGCGCTTTACTTAGAACTGGTTAGCTACAAGACTATTATGGCTAGATTAGGGAAGTCGATCAAAACAATAGTTTTGTGTATTGCATGAATACAATAGTCACCAATAACAAAGGCCAACACTGAAAAAATGTGGCATTAAACTGTGATCATGTAGTTGTCTACCTGAGAATTGCAATCACATAATGACATTTTTTTTGTAAACAATTGTGATAGCCCATTAATCTTTGTATATGTACATGTAAGGACTTAAGGAAAAATTTAAAACATTCATCTAGTTGAGTTTCAGTACAAGAATTGCTGACTTTCTCTGACATACATGTATTCCTGGTATTATTTGATATATCCTTGTTCAGGATAGCAAAGGTCAGCAATAGCAGAGTATAGCTATACCATGGGAGTACTTTAAATAGTTTTGTACTCCAATGAAGTTGAAGGTGAAGTATTCTGATATCACTGTTTCCATGGGGGGGGGGGGGGAGCTTCTAAAGAGTAGTTAACAGAGCTCTACACTGTACCTTGTTTTTGTTTTCGCAAAAAATGATCATATAGTCACAACTTACATGCAGCATGTATGCTATAGATTAGTCAATCCAATAAAGTTAGAACCTTACCTATACTAGTGGCAAAGCTGAAGGCAAGACTAGAATACATCAACTGGGGATCATCATGGTATGTCATTACATACTCAAGGCCATTCTGTAAATGTAACAATTCAACACAATTTTATAATACTTAAGGCCACTCTGCCAATACAAAAACAAATTTTAAAATGTAGTGAGTTCACTAAAAATGATAACAACTTTTCTTTTTTAGGAGAGAGAAGAACCCCCCGCCCCCCATCATGCAATAAAACATAAATGGTGTCCTAAGTTGGACTGTAAGACAAATATACCTCCTCGAATGTAGTGTTTGGTTTGATGACCATGTAGGAGCTGTAAGGATCAACTCTGACAAAGTCGTTTTTCTTTGGACACTCGGGGTGGTCCACTGCTCGGGCCACATACGCCATCACATTTCTCTCCTTGTCAATCTGTGAAAAACAGAGTTCTTATGGGTTAAACTGAATATGGTATCCTCCCTTCACTCATATCTGAAACCATATTTATAGGATTTTTAATCTTTGGATTTAAAAGTTAAACTTACTTTAAATCTCCTAATGTACAGAAATTCCCTGCTATACCATGTTGCCTGCATAAATAATGTGAAAATTATCAATGAGAATTAAGACTGGATTAAAAACCGATGGACATGCAATTCTACATCAGCCTTCTTATAAACACTTATAATTAATTCAGTCAATGACAGATAGCTGTTTGACCTCACCGGATAGTTAGTGACCCACTGCACGACCTCAGACTTTGACCCTGGGTCTTTATCAATGACCTCCAGTTTAACAACATAATGATCCCATTTTTTCCTGTATTCTAGGTCAATCTGTCAAATGAAACATTAAGAAGTTGATAAATTGTGATGTAGGTTCTTAGAAAATAGTTCAACTAAAGAAGAATTTTGCTAAAAGAAGAATCTGCATTGTAGACATTCCAAAGGCAACAGATTTCACAGAATCATAATATTATCTAGGAGAGAGAGAGTGTGTGAACTCATTAAATACTGGGTACACTGACCTGAACTTGGTAAAATGCTGAGGGGGATACATCATCATACCTCCCGTAAACTGTGAATAAGATACATTTATAGAAAAAGTACACATATAAAATAAATTTCAGAGCAAAGTATCAAAATAAATAAGTTCAGTATGATTTAAATCAGAAACTATTTTGTATGCAGTTTGAATGATAGCAACAATGGCTTAAATTCTTTTGATTATAATTTTTATATTAAATGCATGCATGCATAAATGTAAACAGTACTATAAATACTCAACATGCTTATCCTCAATTCTAGATACATGTATATAACAGGAGGTTTCTTGATACCTTTATATTCGTACAGGTGTGAATTGGGGAGGGGTCTTCTCCAGATTTTCAGTGATGGTTCATTGACAATGAGCGTCCAGTCTTTGAGACAACCTGTGGGGTGGGCCCCCTCTAGTTGGTGATGCCGGCCCATGTCCTGTATTTCTGACATATCATCAATAGCTCTGAAAATGATACATTAAAATGATGTTTGATTATATACATGTAATAGGATTCAGGATATTACTGTGGTACTTGCTCTTTTGTGAGGCAAATTATTACATGCAAATGATCATGCTGGTGAAATAAGTTGCAACAGCTACTCCTTAATAAACTAAATTTATTGTCTTTCAAACTAACTTTGCCAAACCATATCAATTTGCCTTACAAATGAGCAGTAGCTTTACCACAGATTAATAATATACACCTTAGGAAATGCACAAGTATACTATGAAGAAAGGTATTGTACAGAAAGTTCCCTTTAAATGCATAAGCATCAATAACCTCGATATTTCTTGATCTGTGACGTTTTCTTCCTTCCATGAGAACAGGGATGCTGCAAACAGAGCAGAGAGTTGTGGCCCCTTTCTGCTCCAGAAAGCATTTCGTAGACTCTGCAGAAACCTGATAAGAGACTTGTGGCCGTGCGTGTTCTCGTATTCGATCGTCCGCCGAATTTTCTGAGCAATTACTCCTTTGTACTGAGTTTTCACTTTCTCAGAAAAAGTTTTAAAATTTTCGGTGATGTAGTCAATGTATGCACGGTAAAGTGGATGCGCTTTCAGCCTCACCGACAAACGATTGAAGAGCTCCGATCTTTCCCTTTCAGAATTGTGGTTCACCCTGACAACCCTTTGAGAAAATCTACGGAACGCAAGATAAAGTCCCTCTGGTGCCATGGTATCTGAAATATGAGGCGTTTCTTTGCCCGTGTTTTCGGTTTTGTAATGAGCTTGAAGGTTATCAAACAATCATTGACAAGTAGACCATGTGTGCCGGAAGTACTACACTTTGGGTATAATGCCCCGAAAACCGTACGTACCTGCGCACTGCATATATCAAAAATGTTTTTTTTTAATTTTATTTTAATTGTTTTTATTTCATAAGAGCAATAATACGGAAGTGATTGTCTGCAATCAAAAATATTATTTCGGAAAAAAGATAATATGATATCAGAAAATAAATGGGATTTTCTCAGGCGCGGATCCAGGAATTTTTTCCAAGGGGTTCACCTCAGTCGAAAAAATTTCAACCCAGAATTTCTTGACAAGCCAAAAAACAAACAAACAACAACAAAGTAGTATATACATTTAATAATTCTGCAAATTCCGGGGGGGGGGGGCATAGGGGCTTGTCTTCCGGATTGTAAAATGTAAAATAAATTAATAAAATTTTGAATCTTCTTTTTAAATACACTTAAAAGTTGTTAAAATAAAGATTCTGACACTTTCAGTCAAGAAAAAAAACACGTTTAAAAAAAGACGTACCACATCTATATACATCAAACTCTAGAGTTTACGTGTAGAGGTGTGGTACATTTTTTTTTTTTTTTTTTTTTTTTTTTTGTGCATACCATGGCATTTTTAAGATACATAAAATTAATCCCCAAGGCACCCTCTCCCCGACATGGCAATTTAATAAAACTGCTGTTGGTATCCAAAGGAAGGTCTTGTCACAAGGATATTACATAAGTGAAGTCCTGGCGCCAACCGTTCAAAAGTTGTGGCCAAGATTAAAGTTTTTCAAAAGTTGGTCAAACTCCTACATCAAGGTTAAAGTTGTTGGTATCCAAAGGAAGGTCTTGTCACAAGGATTACACATGTGAAGAATGAAAGCCATAGCACCAATTGTTCAAAAGTTATGACCAAGGTTAAAGATTGGTAAAATTTTGCAAAACTATGTCAAACTCCAAGATCAAATATGATGGTACCCAAAGAAAGGTCTTGCAAGAAGGAATACAAGTGTGAAATATGAAAGCCAGATCTCCAACCAATCAAGAGTTATGGGCAGTGTTAAAGTTTTTGCGGACAAACAGACAGACGGACATACAGGGACAAAAACTATATACCCCTGAATCTTCGATACGAGAGCATAAAAATATCGATATTAAACAAACATGCCCTTGTGCTTGATGCAGTCATTTAAGATCAATACACTCTGTAATTCTATGGAGTATTGGAGTAGCCCAAGAACAAACAATAACTACAATTTCTCTTCTATACACTCTGTAATTCTAGGGAGTATTGGAGTAACCCAAGAACAAACAATAACTACAATTTCTCTTCTATACACTCTGTAATTCTAGGGAGTATTGGAGTAGCCCAAGAAGAAACAATAACTACAATTTCTCTTCTATACACTCTGTAATTCTAGGGAGTATTGGAGTAGCCCAAGAACAAACAATAACTACAATTTCTCTTCTATACACTCTGTAATTCTATGGAGTATTGGAGTAGCCTAAGAAGAAACAATAAGTACAATTTATCCTTTATACACTCTGTAATTCTAGGGAGTATTGGAGTAGCCCAAACAATAACTACAATTTCTTTTCTATACACTTTGTAATTCTATGGAGTATTGGAGTAGCCTAAGAAGAAACAATAAGTACAATTTCTTCTCTATACACTCTGTAATTCTATGGAGTATTGGAGTAGCCCAAACAATAACTACAATTTCTCTTCTATACACTCTGTAATTCTATGGAGTATTGGAGTAGCCCAAACAATAACTACATTTTCTCTTCTATACACTCTGTAATTCTATATGGAGTATTGGAGTAGCCCAAACAATAACTACAATTTCTCTTCTATACACTCTGTAATTCTAGGGAGTATTGGAGTAACCCAAACAACAACTACAATTTCTCTTCTATACACTCTGTCATTCTAGGGAGTATTGGAGTAGCCCAAGAAGAAACAATAACTACAATTTCTCTTCTATACACTCTGTAATTCTATGGAGTATTGGAGTAGCCCAACAATAACTACAATTTCTCTTCTATACACTCTGTAATTCTAGGGAGTATTAGAGTAGCCCAAGAACAAACAATAACTACAATTTCTCTTCTATACACTCTGTAATTCTAGGGAGTATTGGAGTAGCCCAAACAATAACTACAATTTCTCTTCTATACACTCTGTAATTCTAGGGAGTATTGGAGTAGTTCAAGAAGAAACAATAACTACAATTTCTCTTCTATACACTCTGTAATTGTATGGAGTATTGGAGTAGCCCAAACAGTAACTACAATTTCTCTTCTATACACTCTGTAATTCTATGGAGTATTGGAGTAGCCCAAACAATAACTACAATTTCTCTTCTATACACTCTGTAATTGTATGGAGTATTGGAGTAGTCCAAACAGTAACTACAATTTATCTTCTATACACTCTGTAATTCTATGGAGTATTGGAGTAGTCCAAACAATAACTACAATTTCTCTTCTATACACTCTGTAATTCTATGGAGTATTGGAGTAGCCCAACAAGAAACAATAACTACAATTTCTCTTCTATACACTCTGTAATTGTATGGAGTATTGGAGTAGCCCAACAAGAAACAATAACTACAATTTCTCTTCTATACACTCTGTAATTCTATGGAGTATTGGAGTAGTCCAAACAATAACTACAATTTCTCTTCTATACACTCTGTAATTCTATGGAGTATTGGAGTAGCCCAAGAACAAACAATAACTACAATTTCTCTTCTATACACTCTGTAATTCTATGGAGTATTGGAGTAGCCCAAGAACAAACAATAACTACAATTTCTCTTCTATACACTCTGTAATTCTAGGGAGTATTGGAGTAGCCCAAGAACAAACAATAACTACAATTTCTCTTCTATACACACTGTAATTCTATGGAGTATTGGAGTAGCCCAAGAAGAAACAATAACTACAATTTCTCCTCTCTGTCTTTTTAATAAAAAAAATCATAGTATATCAAATAACATGCACAAGTGTAATTGCAACAAAATGACCAGACATGATAAAATTTTTAATCATGGCAACTGCAGTGACTGTAATAATTTATTGTATAACATATTCTGATCTCATACTGGTATTTGTATCTTTACTAGCAAGTAAACATGTAATTCTTAGTTTAATCTCTTCATATCCTACATATTTTTGATGAAAATTCATTTTCTTCAAAAGGAAGTTGGGAGTTGATACATTCTAAGCACAAGCATTTTCTGGCAAAACCTGATCTATTTTCATAAATTATCAATGATATTAAGTATGCTCAAATAGTATATATTCATGGTGCACTGGTGTACAGTGTATTGGCAAATCAAACAGTCATGGATATGCAGCGTGATAAAGGAGATTAAATTCCTCATCAAAATCAAACAAAGCACCAAAAAATAAACCTAGCATAAATTTGTAAAATTCAAAGGATGAACATTTTCACAAATTTATTTCAGACAATCCTTGTGAATGTGTTAATTTGGTGTTTTTCTTCCAGGTTTTGTTAATTCTATGCAAAATCCTCTATGTACATTTTTTAATGATATTTATATCCATCACAAAATGATGTTGATGTTGAGAATCATCCTCACATTAAAAATATTAATTATTGAGATTAATATTAATTAATATTAATTATTTTAAAGTGGTCATCACTTCACCTAGGGAGGATAACTCTTGCAAAACTTATCGACAGTATACAAATAAATCATGACAGTTCTATACATACATATCAGGAAACAATGGACCTTAATTAAATGACACTTTGAAGAATTTTAAATAACATAAATAGCTATATGATTTACATACATCCCTCATTCCTACTTTTCATATGTTAAGTTTCAGCACAATTCAATAGTACATTTGAAATTCAAGGTGTAACAATTCGTTCAATAACATATATCAAAGGAATATCATTTTCACAGCAAATAAAATTTGCATTGTAAACATAACAAACTGTAATAATACATAGTAAAATATTTCAATAGATTCTATATTCTTTAATAAACAAGAACAAAAATGGTTTCTGTATCACATTGGGTACCCAGTTTATCTAATGTTTCTCTCTTTCAAACAAAGTCAAGTACCTGAAGTTTGTCAAGAAAATTGAGATAAAAGTGAGTATACTGTATATCAAAAGTAACAATTACCTGTACAGGTAAGAACAAATACCTGTACAGGTAGGAACTTTATGTTAGTCATAAGCATGTTAGAAGCAGAAAATATTTAAATTCTTTGTTCAAATTCAATAAAAATCATAAGCTTACTGGAGGCAAGAAATTAATGCAGACTGACAGCGTATAATCATATAAATCATGAATCTGATACATAAAATGACAAAATTGAGTGATGAATTATAATGGCAGTATATTTCCAAAAATCATTCAATTTCAATAAAGCACTTAAATTACCAAGTCATTCAGTCTTAATGAATTATTATGAAACTTGGTGTACAGTTTCTTGTATGGAGTTGGGATGATGATGGTACGTTGATATGGAGGTGTTTTCAGCTTCCCACTTTTGCTATCAGTTCATCACATATTGAGGTCAATTCTTCATTTTCTTTTACCTGTCAGAACAAATAAAGATTGATTAGAAAACTGACAGACCAAAAAAATGCAAGTGCAATTGATAAGCCTTCCTATAAACTTTCTGATCCACCCCTGAAAGTAACTTTCTTTTAGATCCACCCCTAAAAGTAATCACCTTTTGATCCAGTGACCTCTGTAGACTCTGGACTTGAAGTTCTGCTTTCTTCACCGCTGCCTCCAGACGAGCAATGTCCGATGCTGCCGTCTTACGGGTGCGTTCCATTTCACTGTTAGCACTACAAAAAAATAGATAAAATCAATAGATTTCTTTAACTGTGGACAATTAGAAGGCATTTTACAAAATTATTCAAAAGCTCAAAAAAGTATTGCATAACAGTTTATTCATGTCAACCATACAAAGCATATACAAGAACACCTTCAGGTATGTTATTGTGAATAGGTTATGGATTAAATCAATTCTTTTCTTTGCAGGATTATACATATAATGCTGTAATTATGTAGTTCTTACTAAATAGCACTATGTAATATGTACATCTGTATTGGTACTCACTAAAGATTAATGAACAAACAGAAAAATTAAAGCTGGTCTGGATACAGGGTTCATCATAAAACACTTATTATTAATCCATTACTTTTTGCATGTGTACATCTTTTTAAGCTATCATAATGATAGGCTGACTTTTATCATATTTTTGCTTTTTGTATGACGTAGACAAAACTTACTTGTCAATCTTGGTCTCTGCCTGCTGGACGAATTCCTGTAGCTTGTCCTCGGCTACTTTTAATTTACTCTGGTAGTCCTGGATACACTTCTTTAATACCTCCTCATTCTACAATAGCCAACACGTGACAAACTCTCTCATAGTAATACAATTTTACTGATAGCTAACTTACAGTTTACAATGGAGTGCTTTCCGCTTTTGTCACCAAAAAACTGTCGAATAGTGACATATGATATACAATTAGAAACAAAGCAACTGTTAGGTATGGAAACTCATTTAAACATTTTTCCTCCGTTTAACCAGTACACTTAGCGTTTTCTATGATTATTGGGTTACACTAACATCATCTTTTTGTTTTCTACCAATGTCCAAAAGTCTAAACTATTGGTAAAAATATTCTAGCAATTTTTTGGGTTTAAGAATAGCCAACACTGATGTGGGAAGACGTGGGGGAAAAATTGTCTTTTTCAGTATTATTTTTATTTTAACCAAGAGAATCCTTAAATTAGGTAGACTGGGAGAGGAAGCAACTTGTAGGTGCAGACTGATAGAAAAAAGAAAAATTTCAAAGCACTTTCAAACACTGGCTCTTTTGTTAAATAGTTTTTTAATGTCCCGACATTTATATGAATGTACAGTACAGTGCAACTACCTTTTTAAAACCCTCCACAACACCTTTCGTTTTCTCGTATCGTCTGTGCAAATCTGAAAATGAGGCTTCCACTCCTTGAAGATCTTCTAAGGCCTGAAAATATATACAGTGTACAGAATAATTAACTACAAAATGTTCTCATTTAACAGATTGCCATAATTAAGTCTGCTAAAATGCTGAAGGAAAGCCGCTAACATTTTTTGGAGTGAATTTTATTTCCTAATTTCTACATACTGTGGAGTCTGATGTACATTTCCTAATTTCTACATACTAAGATTTGATGAGTGTGGAGTCTGATGTATATTTGACCTTACTGTATTTAGTCCTCTACATACAGTAATTACAAGTGTGATGCCTACTTTTGATTCTGTTTACCTGGTCTCGCTCTTTGACGACTTCCTCAAATGTCTGCTGTGATTCATTCACCGATCTCTCCTTTTCAGCTTATAATAAAGAAAATATTAACATGTAAAACTGTGAAAAATTCAGCTTTTGAAGATGTTCCTTCCATATTTAATTATCCCCTTCATGTTACATGGAGTATTATTGTAACAGACAAGTTTGTGCCTCCGAATCAATGGATTTGAACCTGGGACCTCTTGCATGACAGTCCAGTGCTCTACTAATCAAGCTAAATGGTTAACCCACTAGCCCAAGCTAGTGGGATGCAGTGTATCTTATATGGTACTACATTATTGTTTAAAATCAACTTGAATCTTGAAAAAAAAAAACTTTGTCATTTCTGGCTAAGTGATCCTGATAGATACTGTAAACCACCTTTTTTTCACATGTTAGAAATATCTGAGGCTTTTATGGCCTCTTCTTCTCCTGAATATTTCTCATCACAAACTATTAATTTATGTAAAATGTCTTTTTAGCCATGAAAGTTAATAGTCATGGATGATTTCAAACTGAAGAATTGCCAATAAAAGTTAATGTAAATAAAAGTTGGTTAACAGTATATGTACATGTATATATAATAAATAAATGTACATAAACATATTCTCTTCTTTTTCTCTAACAAGGAGCTTTCATTTCAAAATTTTATTAATTCCATTACTGAAGAATGTTTTGTGACCCTTTTTTTTTTTTTAAAGAAATTAATACTGTGGTTCAGGGAGGAGGCCAAATTTGTGGAAAATTTATCCCAGAAAAGAAAGGAACCAGCTGCTGAGTGTAGACCCAATTTTGATCAAGAAAACATACATGAAAATACATATAAATGTTTTCAAAACTTACTGTGTAACTGGGCAATAGTCTTTTCAAACTCAGCAACAACTGCCCTACAAAACAAGGAAAAGAAAATGTATAAATACATTTAAATTTATTATGCTTACAATTAAGTGTTCTATTTCACTATTAAACAATTTATAATTCTTGTCATTTGTAAGTGTTTCTTATCATCATAAAACCATCAAAAAACTAACAAGTGGTTTTATCTACAGGGAATAAGTTCTCTGTATCAGCCAGTAAGGATCATTTTATACTCTCTAACTTATAATGCTATGGGAACCAAAAACACTGCTACAGTAAAAAAAAAAAAATAATAAATAAAAGGAAATGCCAATCTGTGCATTAAATATTTCTCTTGCATTACAATTTTAAATTGATCACTTTTAAAAATTGTCCTAACAAATACCCCAATGATTTATAACTGATTTCACATACCAAGTACTATTACCTTATTTAATATGCCCTCCCCCCCCCCCCCCCCCCCACTGTAGTCTTACCCCTTCCCCTTCACTTCATTCTCACTAAACTCCCTACTACATGTACCTATTTCATAATGAGTGCTTACTCTCAAATTCTTTATCTAAAGGTACTTTTAACTATTCCATTCTAGGATTACTCATTCTGGGATGACTTCATCGCTATTCTAGTCTGACCTCACAAACACTACTAAATACCCATTTTTCATGAATTTCTTTGATAGTACCCCATTCTAAGTTGACTTCACCAATACTACCTCATTTTAGACTGGGATTTTCACTACTACCTTAATATAGACAGATCTTTCTACTACTTCCTCATTCTAAATTGATTGCACTACAACTTTCCTATTCTAGCCTGACTTCACCATTACTACCCCATTCACACCGAACTCACAATCACTACCTCATTCTAAAGTGAACTTACTATCACTGACAAATTCTATATTGACCTCTCAACTGTTACCCTTTTTTACACTGACCTCATGTCCTCATTAGTTGCCTTGTACAATTTGTTTTGTTCCTGTAGCTCTGTAATTACTTTGTCCCGTGCCCCTAGTTTCTGACTCCATTCTCTCTCCTTGTTTAGGAGTCGGGCCTGAAAGTCGAGCTCCAAGTCCTGTTTTATTTTATTCACATCAGACTGAGAGTATTTTAGCACCTGTTAAAAATTAATAAATATAAGTTAAAATTTGGCACTTTTTTTAATAAATATTAAGATCCAAGAATTGATTTTAAAACAATTTTACAACTGTGGAAATAAATTTGATTTTTTTTCCATGGTAGTGGACATCTAAAACTGATATATACATGCAATCATTGCCCATGTTAATGAGTATCAGAATCTACATAGATTATGCTGTAAAAGTTTCCTGTAATATTTTCCCCCTTCCCCACTGTAAATAGACTACAAGAATATATTCACTGAGCATTGTAATTAAATTTTTCTTAAGATTACAAGGAAATACCACATATAAAGAGGAAATGTATGAATTAGTCTTATTTCCACAAAAGTATGGGTTTTAGGGTAAAGGGTTAAAGGATCAACATTATCAAAACCAAGAAATGTTTTAATTAAAATTAATTGATTACACCTGTTTTTGGAAAAACAAATATTGACAAATTGGTTATTTTGTCACAGAGTAGGGTGGGTGTACTTGAAAAGGCATAAGGTGCTGTAACAAAGTGTTAGTCCATTAAACCAATCACCATCCAGGTCAAAGTTCAACAAACAGGTGATCATTTATTACATTGTGTGAGGACACACAAAAATCTACTGTTCTCTGAATCTTAAAGATACAATGTAGCTGTATTATCTATTTCCTGTATTTTATGCAGTAATAGAAACTCCTCAGATTTTATTGTCACATTAAGGGCTGGTACACAGTGGGTTAAGCTGATCCAGATCATCTTAATCTGGATTAACTTAACCCTAAATATTAACTCCACATTGTTTCCACTCTGCTTTCCTTACTTCACATACCATGTAATGATGATGTCCCTGTTGACTCTGGTTCAAGTTAAACCCACAATGTGGTAGAGGGATAATTTAACCTAGTGTGGATAGGATGTCAATTAACAAACATTTACCAGACTTCGCTTAACTTTGTCATGGAACAGCCCTTAACAGCTCAATAATACAAAATCCTGATGCAGCCACACACACATGTATAGCAAACCATTAAAGACAGCTAAAACTGCTTCATTTTCATGTCAAATCATGAAAGCTCAATAAATTTGCTATTTGATTTTCTTAAGAAATGATAAATTCTTCACTGTAAGCAGGAAGTCACTGTAGCTTGGTCTGCTATAAATGGATTTAACTGTACAGCATGATTCTAAAGAGACTAAACAAGCAAGAAACTCTCCTGAATTAGAACATTCTTTTACTTGCACTATTTCAAATGAAAAAAAATTCTTTTTTAACATCAGCTCATGAAAATATAAATATATGTATACATATAATTTGCATCACTTAACAGGAGAAATACAAGCACCATCTCTCTTAAAGAATCTGTCAAATTTTCATTTTGCTCTATAGCTTAAAATGGCTTCAGAGAACAGTAGATAAGGTTACAGGTATTTGAGCACTACCTAGGTAAGCGACACACATCTACCTTATTATTGCTGCTCTGTTCCTAGAGTAATTACAGGTACAACACAGGTAAACACAGGTAATACTTATATCTAACAATTTACTCTTAGTCTACATATAAGTATACAGTACTATGTACAACTAAAAGCATTAATACATTAATACAACAGGCTTGCACTATCATAACATGATTTGGGATTTAACTAAGTCTAACATTCTTGTACAAATTTAATAACATTTACTAGTGTAGCAAATTGCATAAACACATTTTTTTTTATTCTATGGAAAAACTAAACTGAAATCTCTACAACAACTGTACATGTAGAATGTAAATAATTACTTGTATTTAACAGCATGATTTAAATTTGCAGTATGTGAACAAAATTAAAGAGATATACTGTAATACATGTAACTGTATGTGTACAATGCATGAAAATTTTGCCTAAAATTAGCTTTACATTATAGCAAGTTTTGTGGTGTTACAGACCCAATTAAACTGATTTTGCACAGTGTTGTATATTATATGGGTACTGGATGTGCAATGTTATATTTGTTGTGTTGTACATACCTGGACTAGATGTACAACAATTGTTGTGTTGTATATTATATGGGTACTGGATGTACAGTGTTATATTTGTTGTGTTGTATGTACCTGGACTAGATGTACAATGTTATATTTGTTGTGTTGTATGCACCTGGACTAGATGTACAATAAACATTTATTGCATGACAGTGAGGGAGACATGAAGATTTTTTCGCCCATGAAAAAAATCATTCCCCTCGGGGAATATGATTTTTTTCATGGGCGAAGAAATCTTCATGTCTCCCGAACATTCATGCAATAAATTGTTTATTATACCGAATCAAGCAGGAAATATAAAGAAACTCCAATGAATAAAGTAAACATTTGATAAGAACAATATGAAACAGCTGTAAGTTACACCACTAGTCGCGCTTCATAAAAATACTTTCCTTTGTGACAAGTCAGTGTGATTTACACACTATATCATTCAAACCCAAGCCATGAAAACACTTTTCTAAATATTTATATTTTACAAATTTGAATCAACACTATCAATCAAAGACAAACATTATAACTCAGTAGTAACCATCTCAGTCGCCGCATTGTGACGTCACAATCATGAAACACGTGAAACACGAAGTTTTGTTGCAGGGCAAACACGATGGGCACGTGACTGTCTCGGCCAATCAGATTCTATTTAACTAGTGATTATTTATATGAGGTATAATAATCTTTGTTGTACTAGATGTACAATGTTATATTTGTTGTGTTGTACATACGTAGATTAGATGTACAACATTATATTTGTTGTGTTGTATGTACCTAGACAAGATGTACAATGTTATATTTGTTGTGCTATATGTACCTAGACAAGATGTACAATGTTATATTTGTTGTGCTGTATGTACCTAGACTAGATGTACAATGTTATATTTGTTGTGTTGTACGTACCTGGTCTAGATGTACATTATATTTGTTGTGTTGTACGTACCTGGACTAGATGTACATTATATTTGTTGTGTTGTATATTATATAGGTAGTGATGAACAGTGTTATATTTGTTGTGTTGTACATACCTGGACTAGATGTACAATATGTTATATTTGTGTGTTGTACATTACATGGGTACTGGATGTACAGTACCAACCAGACCCAACCTGACACAAAGCAGTCCCAGAGCAGTCCCGGGGACTGCTTTCTGGGATTGCTCTGGGACTGCTAAAGCAGTCCCAGAGCAGTCCCACAGCAGTCCCAAAGCAGTCCCAGCAGTCCCAGAAAGCAGTCCCAGCAGTCCCAGTGGGCGGGGTTAATTAATTTAATTAATTGTTGTGTTGTACATACCTGGACTAGATGTACAATATGTTATATTTGTGTGTTGTACATTACATGGGTACTGGATGTACAGTACCAACCAGACCCAACCTGACACAAAGCAGTCCCAGAGCAGTCCCAGCGGTCCCAGAAAGCAGTCCCAGCAGTCCCAGAAAGCAGTCCCAGTGGGCGGGGTTAATTAATTTAATGGGCGGAGCTTACTCAGAAATGAGATTACCAATAAACAATGTAACTATAAAAGGCAGTTGAAATTGATGATCCATTTCTTTCTGAGCAGTATCAATTCTCATGCGACAGTCATTTTTGAACAGTTAAGAAAATCACACTACGCGTGTTGAAACAAATAATAAATATTGAACAAAAAAGACGTTCACACCTACTAATAACATGAATATTTAAACACAGTTTTGTGGTATATTAATTTTTCACCAAAATAAATCAATTTCTAAATTACTGTGATTGATATTGGTTTCCATATTTATTTATTTATTTTTTTTTTTATAGAAAATTAAACTTGAGTTTTTTTTATTTTCTATCAAAACTAGCTTTAAATAGGCCTTATAATTATAGAGCAAGGCCGATTTCCATACTATACTCTGAATGCAGTTTTCTTAAGTACTGGAGCTTTTGAAAAATTCTTTGTGTATTGTATTTCAGTCACGATTATTTTGCACTGACTTGCCAATTTAATTATCGTTAGATTATCTATGTAACAGAAAACAATAATACTTTTATTATATAAACGTTTGAGTGTACATGTGTAAATCACGCGAATGGAACCCTCAGAATATGTTCAAAATTAATTAATCCCGAAATGAATTTATACACATTTATTGAAACGAAAATTTTTTGCAGTACATAGATTGAAATTAGTGTCATTGTTGACCAGCATGTTCAGTGATGTGTAACATTGATACCCAAATAACATGCATTGACTTTCTGCTAATCATGCCCGAAGGCGATTGAAACCTCAGGTGTTGACACCATTTTATACATTTGTATTGCTTTTTATTAATCGGCCAGGAAAACACAAACAAAACAAATAAGAAATAAGTCACAATTCCCAATATTTTAAAAAGTTTATAAATTTACTCTTTTAATAACTTGTTTATAAATAAAAAACAAATTCATAAATAAATCCCCCAATAATTGTTCACAAATATAATTGTTTAAAGGACTGAAGAATGGTAGAATAATTTTATTTCATGGTCATTTAATAAATTATTAGGTTTTATTTGAGGGCGGTAACAAATAGCATGGAATGCTCTTTTTTAGCATGCATATGGTTTTAGCTTTTTCAATTTAAAAAAAAATCCAGTACAGTACGTCCCTCTGAATGTCTTATTGTAATGACAAGTTTGTTTGTTTTTTTGTTTGTTTTTTTTTAAAATAGTGCTAATGCAAACTTTGAGTACATTCCGTAACTTGACAGCATCAATTAATTAAATAGGCCTCGATATTTTTTTCCAAACATCTGTATTAAAGTTTTAATTAGCATTAATTAATTAAATAGGCCTAGATTTTTTTTTTCAAACAGCTGTATTAAAGTTTAATTTAAAGGATAAAAGTCATCTCCTGACTTCCCTTTTAACTACTTTCATTTTTTAAAATTAATTCTAGACTACAATTGTGTAAATTTACAGCCCCTGAAGACATTTAGTAATTACATGTATATCTATCTCTACTTATTAAAATGTTGTAAAAAATCCTTGTTTTTTTTAATTCTTTATCTTAAACAAAACAACAACAGGGAGCCTGCAAATTCAGAATACACAAGGGGCGGAGCTATCATGTCACTCAGAACCTTTTTCATGCATGAGTGAACAAAGCAGTCCAAGAAAGCAGTCCCAGGGACTGCTGGGTCTGCTTTCTAGAGCAGTCCCACAGCAGTCCCAGAGCAGTCCCACAGCGGTCCCAGAGCAGTCCCACAGCAGTCCTAGAGCGGTCCCAAAGCAGTCCCGGGGACTGCTTTCTGGGACTGCTTAGGTGTCAGGTTGGGTCTGGTTGGTACTGTACAGTGTTATATTTGTTGTGTTGTACATACTTGGACTAGATTTACAATGTTATAATTCTTGTGTTGTACATTATATGGGTTCTGGATGTACAGTGTTATATTTGTTGTGTTGTACATACCTGGACTAGATGTACAATGTTATATTTGTTGTGTTGTACATTATATGGGTACTGGATGTACATTGTTATATTTGTTGTGTTGTATGTACTTGGACTAGATTTACAATGTCATATTTGTTGTGTTGTACATTATATGGGTACTGGATGTACAATCCTATATTTGTTGTATTTTCATACCTGGACTAGATTTACAATGTTATATTTGTTGTGTTGTACGTACCTGGACTAGATGTACAATATTGTTATCAACCGGAGATTTCGCCTCTGTCATTTCTTTACCATCCTGTCAAAAACAAAACAATGTCTTCAAACAGACACAAATTTTGCGCTTATACATTACTGTATTGAAGTCTACAAAATGCAAACACTTTTCAAGCAGACATCCTTCTTTTGGGACATCTGATGAAAATCTTTTCTTTTTTTTTTTGTTTTCAATTCAGCCATTCTCTGATTTTGATGATGCCTTCTCTTTTAAAAAAGACAGAACAATATTCTTAAACCTTGAAGTTATCTAGATATGATAATTATAGATGAGATTTTCTCAGAGGTAAATCTTTGAAATGTATCAATGAGCCAAATTTCATGCCTTTAAGGTTTAAACTGCATGGGACCAGAAAAATATTATCATTTTTAAATACATTGTTACACCAGTTCTAATCTACCAGCTACTAATGCTTCAACTATAAACAGGACTAACATTAACACACATACACTAAATACTAAGTTTTCAGCATTCTGTGCACTCATAATAAACCAATGCTTACATGCTCAAATATATTAAGCTAATGTGTACTTAATCAATGTTGACAAGGGAATGTGTGAATACTTCACCAATCATGACAATCGATAAGAATGAACCTCTATATATGGTATATACACTGTTTACAACAGTACTGATACATAATGTTCCTTGAATGTGTACATTTTCACAGAAAGTTACAAGTTATAATAAATGATATATATTATACAGATATCAGGATAAGTGACATATATAATAGTAATGTCTAAATCTATTTTTAGATTGTGAAATCTACAAATGGTTATGTACAAAAGACAAGATACAATATATTCTGTTTAACACTGAAAGCAAGTAAAAACTTGACAGAGTATGATATGGAATATAAAATCTTTCTTTTTTTTTTTTTTGCAGAATTTGTTCATTAAGGATGGCACCAATGGAAGGTCTTAAAATCCTAACAATTCATTTTTCTCAATTGTGAATCCAAGCATGGAATCATAACCCACAATATTTATTTACTATGTTTAGTGGCTTACAGTTATCATTGAACATGAAAAAGAAAAAAAAAAGAACTGACAGAAAAAAATACAGTGTACTGGCATACCTGTAAAGAGATATCATATATTGACAAGTCATGGAATGAGAGGACCATAGGCCACAACACTCACCTGAATCACCCTAGCCCTGCTGTTCTTCAGAGGATTTTTTCAAAGATTTTTTTTCCCTCTATAATCCAATTATAAAAATTTTGACTCCATAAAATGGCCCCATCCTAGCCTCAGTTGGACATGACTTAACCAAACTTGAATGTACAACACATGGGGATTTTAAATATCAGTGTGACTAACATGACCTTGCAGGTCTGGATGAGAAGCTTTTTTTCAATTTTTCCCCTTTATACCTGTATTATGTAAAATTTAATCCTTAGTCCCTCCAAACTCCAGTGTTCATAATTCAATTAAACTTGAATCAACATGATATAGGAATGTTTGCAAATAAATATGATTTAGTGTCACCCTGCTGCTCCCAAAATAAAAGAAAATCCCCTATTGTGGCCCCATCATACCCTGGGGACCATGATTTGAACAAACTTGAATCTAGATTATACACATGATACAGAAACATTCTATCTTTTCTGGCCCAGTGTTTCCAAAGAAAAAGATTTTTGTATAACCCCACCCTTTACTTGCTTTTTTCTTTATTTTTATTATCTCCCCTTGACAAGATGTGTGGCCCTTCATTAGAAGAAATATAAATCTCCTTCACCCTAGGATATTTTGTGCCAAGCTTGGTTGAAATTACCTCATTTCTTCTGGAGAAGAAGAAGATGAAAATATGAAAAGTTTACAAAGACAATGACAGACAATGAACAAATTTTGGTAAGTAAAGCACACTTGAGCCTTAAGCTCAGGTGAGCTAAAATGATGGAATAAAAGCAGAGCTTTATTTAAAGCTGGCATGCACATCTGTACTTGTACAGGTAATAATTAACTGTCATAATATGACACAATATGTCATGACCGGCCAGTGATCAGTTTAATACCTGCTCTGTTAAGCAATTAAAGCCAGTCTGAAGTTGTTTACGCCTTTTTAAGGTAAAAAAAAACATGCTAAAAATATTTCAATTGAGGAAAAAACCATGCAAAAACTGCAGCATATATGAGTTCTTAAATTCACCTTTGAAATAAGAAACACTGAAAACATCCAGTACACAAGACAAAATGCAACTCCATTATGCAACACAATCTCTGCAGGTTAGTAAGAAAAAGGCTGGTTACGGAACAGAAAAAGAAGGGATAATATTTATTATCACAGATTCTGAAGTCTGTATTTGTTGAGAATACCTTCTTAGGTGGATATTCGTAAGCATCGTAGTATTTCAATTCGTCAGTTTCATCACTGTTGTTCTGAACAGGATAAAAAATGTCAAAATCACTGTTTAAGCTTACAAAACTTGTAATATGTGTTAGACAAATATTCAGTTTTTATACCCAAGTCATTAAAAAAAAAAATTAGATGATTTTACACATGGACATTGACTATGATACCACAAATTGTTGCATCCAGAGCAGTAATGTGTATGCACATGAAACAAGTATGGATTCTTCTCCATTATATGAGGAATTACTTCAATTTTTGTTTTTTTAAATACTAAATCTATTTTGAGTCAGTTTGACAAACAGAAACATAAAGTATTATATGATATGTACTGAGCAATATCCTACAATTTTTTTTAATTGTGTAGAAAAAAATGAAATTAAATTGCAATTGTGTTGAAAACAAAACTTAGAGCTTATGGCAGTAAAAGTCAAGTAAGAAATTATTATGTTCAATAACCTATAACATGTTCTTTATAAAGATTTGACTTTACAAAATGAACTTTTTAAAATTAGTAATATGATAAATAAGAGAAAGGAATGGGTAAGGGATCAAGATATGACACAGGATAGATGAAAATCATTCTTAGGTTTACAACAATCAATGTTTATGTGGCAAACTATGATTTACAACATCATCTAAAGAATAATTCCTATTACTGATATATCATAATCTTGATCCACGAGAATCAAATCACACACACCACATTCAATATCATAAACCTCTCTACTCTCAGTCTAATGTATACATTATGAACAAAACACAACAGATGTTAATTTCAGAGTCAACATTGTTACTATCAATACACCACAAACATGCCCTTCACTATCACTTCTCATTTAGGAACTTCCTATGTGTGAAATGGAAAAGTTCTTGTTTTATCAAGATGTATACTCTTGTTCTAAAATATTGTTTTACAAACATAGGAACGCTGCCTGAATAAGTCCATTCTAGAACTTAAAAAAACCAAAAAGCATTGTGATGCAGAAGAATAATGGTCTATTGTTAAAAAAAAAAAAAAAAAAAAAAATTTCATTTATTGCTGAAAAAGTCTGATACCTTACCTTATTACTTCCCCTTACACCCCCATGCTCCTCCAGATTTTCTTCCAGTACCCGAGCTGCTGGGTGTTTGGGAACACGCGTCCAGGCCTTGGGTGTGGTCATTAACGGACTCGGGGAGCTGCAAAGACAAGAGTTTCAGGAGTCCATTGTAAACAGAAAACTACCACTTGAAAGACAGATAAGAATCTCATTAATCTCTCCTTTCTCTTTAAAATATATCTAGCAAATCTGGAAAGGTAGCTACATTCTCAAATCATATAACAATACTTTTGTTCTCAAAAATGATCAATTATGGAGAACACTTGAAACCATTTTTCCAATACACACCCATAAAACAATACGGTACAAAAACAGCAAAATATCTGATTAGCTTGTCATTTAGAAACTACAAAACTTAATGACAATTAGTAGCCACTTTACATATTGAGTCTTCTTTCATTATTCTGTTGTCTTTTGTATGTAGCCAGTAACCAACTTAATACACACACACTGCTTTTTGTCTGTGTCTAAATGGCTGGTATTTACTATAATTGTTTACAGTATATTGAATTTCATTGAGTTTTTTTAAACCAATTTTTAAACTGATCTAACACTGATAAAGAGGTTCACATCTGTAAAAGACTTTATTTATATTGTCAGAGTCAGTCTTTTTTTTCTTTGATGAAAAGTGACATAATCATGAATCATGAATCTAGCTAAGCTTTACACACCAATTTTATATTTAACATTCACTATTTTAACTATATGTACAGTGTTCCCGAATCAAACCAAACTATTAATGATTTTCTACTACAAGAAAACAACCTAATATATCAAACAATTCAAATTAATTAAAGATTGAAAGCTAGAAAATGAAGAATATATCCATCCATCAGAGAGATAGAGAGATAGATCCAGATCCTTTACGCAATCATTATTCCTTTTGGTGTCTACAGGATGATTGACCCTGAAAACAGCAGCAAAGCTTCTCACTGATTCAGATCAATACATCATAGTCTTAATGTGACCTCTACATATACACATGTATAGATTGGAGGCTGAATTAATGTACACATTATTCATGATGTGAATTTTCTTTGCAATTGTAGGGTATACCCGGTATACTGCAAACCTGTTGCATGAAAATGAAAATTTAGTGGTTTAGTAGTTCATTATTTAACCAACCTATCAATATTCTGTATCAAAATTCTAAAAATTCATAGCACCATGCATAATATTTTTAGCATAATGTTTGACTTTCATTCAGTGGTTGTGCAGACCTGTAATTTCAAAATCAATAACTATTTTTGTCTCCTCCTGTAACTGTATAACACTGTTAACTCATTTCTAAACACCATACAATTTTCAGATCAATTAACCTGCAGCTAGCAATATGACATAACAGCTGCATTAAGATGCAAGGGAATGTTAAGTAGAGATGACTTAGTCTGTGAATGGAAACAGAAGGCTTTTTTTATCACTGTTAGCCAGACTTTCCTTATGCTGGTTAATGCGGTTTTCATGTCATTCTGACAAAAATAAGGCATGGATATTTACAGACTGAAGGCAATTCTAAAGGGGTAGTAGAACACACAACTAAACATCCAAAGGAAATATGTTTCATTTTTCAAGATTAATGTTTGATCTAAGGAAACACTGGGAGCTACTCAGGAAATATTGAGTGTTATCAATTATAGATTGTGTACCTGAATACTGAACAGCACAGAAAATATTTTATTGTTAAAGCCCCAAAAATACACATCAATAATCATACAAATGACAGGACAATTCATATCTATTTTATGATATTAAAAAAATTAATACATATGTAGAGGGGAGGTGTAGTACTAGTCCTATGAAAAACATCATACATAATCAGGAATTATTTATTGATGAGTGTATAATACATGCACAGTGCATTATGATCAGACCAAACAGGACTGCACCAAGATAAACAAACATCTACTACATTTAAATCTCTTACCTGTTAACAATGTCTTCTGGATCTACACTGGATTCCGAAGGATGAACATCTACCTCTGGTTAAATAAAAATGTATAACTGACGTAAATAAGAATCACTCCATCTTAACCACAGCTTAAATCTCACTAGAAAATCTCACAGTGGAATAACATGGCACGTTCAGGCTTGTGCTCAGGATATAGGTAGGCAGTGTCATATCGATACCTTTTAATCAATACTTGATCAATAAGTTTCCATTATGTCTGAAGTGACCTTTAAATATGCTATAATGCCTCCGTTACCCTTTACACCTAGAGATTTAAAAATCCCCCAGTTATGTCGTGAAAACTATGGAGGAGCAAGTCTGCTGTAGGGAAAGATGTCTATACGGTTAATTTTTAAAGCAAATATTGATTTTTACCATGTAAAGGATCAGCTAACTGCCTGTAGATAAGGCGACAGGGAACCTGTCACTGCAGTCAGGGATTAAGGAGGGGATAATCTCCCTTTGATAATCTGTCCTCAGTCAAGGACACAGATTATTCGGGGCACAATGAGAGGGTGATCCAAGTCTTGTGGAGTGGCACCCATGGTATGAGGCGGACAGATACAAGGTGAGATAATTATAATGCTGTGTGTGTAATACACTGATGTAGCAGTGACAGATCAATACATCTGTGTCCCTCATGTGTTGTATACAACAGCTCTCTTTGCTTATGTGTCTCTTCATTATCATTTACATATATAACTATTATACTTATGTTACAGAATAATGTATCAAAATAATAGGTAAATATTGGTATTGTCCAGTCTCTGAAGACTGCTGCTAAGAATAAATAATATTTTGGATGTATACAAAAGGATTTTTTTTCAAATTGATGTGTTTTCTATTAGAAAATTATATGGTCCTTTTTTAAGATTGACAATTGCCAGATTTTTACTTGGACTTTTTAAACAGGGCCTGTGAATTGGCTTGGGGTTCATGACCTTTGACCTGCTGATGCTTTTTTTAATGATGTCCGGGTTAGAAATTACAGGTATGAACTTTATGATTTTGACCTTCACAGTTATTACAGTTATTAAATTTTGATCATCATCAATTTGTATCTAAAAATCTGTTCTGTAAAACATGTCTAATATCACATATTATCATGTTACAAAAAATTACACAATGCTTTTATTTTATCTATTTATTTATTTTTTGGGGGAGGGGGAAGGAGAGAGATTAATACAAACCACTCTGAATAAATAAATAAATATCATAAAAAAAAAATGTACAGACTTCTCATTTCAAAGCATAGGTCCTCAATCATCATGAGCACAGGTTTTTTAGGGAGCTGCCAGGTTTTGATGGCAAAAAAATCTACCTGAACCATACATCTCCATTATTATAGTCAATGATAGCTTCAATTTGTTCAGCTCCATTTGGGACAATTTTTTGCAGTACAATGGTTTCTTAGTACTTTTTGTGGTAATTACAAGCGTTAAAACACCAAAACCTTTTAACCCTTCTCTGAAAGACCTTATGTACCTAAGTTAACACTTTCATCCTTTCAAATATAATTCTAAAGTACACTTAAAAAGTTTGTATGAAAAATAAAATCCTAAACCAACTTTTTAAATAGCATCATTTAAAGGCATCATCACTCCAAATTCCAATTTTCTTTTCTCAAAGTTAAGAATATTTTGTATTTTGGATGGTATCAATTAATCATGTTAATATTCAATTATTCCCCCACCTAACTCATATTCCACACTCCAAATATCTGTAATTAACTTCCTATATGAATACATGTATTCACTTTTTGGATGTACAGCACAAAATTTAACCAAACATGAGGCATTTTGAAAGACTAAACAAGAAGTGCTGAATATAATTGTCATCTCAGGGAACAAGTACTTTTATATATTAATTTGGAGAGTTTTTCAGTTATTAAATTAGATCATTTGATCTGCTCGAATGGATCCCCACACTAAGGATCTAACAAATCCCATTTTGGTTCATCTTAGAATGATCTTGTATAGGGAATGGAATTCACAGATTAGCAAAGGGGAATAAGTCTTACACTAAATTGTTTGTTTTCATCTCAAACACCCTTTCAGCATGTTTGCAGATTCTCTTAACATTAAACTGAAATCACACGACATCATTCAAAGTCTTGCCTATGTACGGGATTGTTACCATGACGGTTTACTCCTGTTGGGGGTCAAACTTATGGCTTAGAAAGCAGTACCCTGATTGGCTGGATGAAAGGTCAATCTGAGATGAACCTTAATTGGGATGTTGTTAAATCCTTTGTGTTAGTGATCTACATAAGTGAATCAAAGGATCTTATTCCAATATGCTTACGGAAGCTCTAAACACTAACAAAAAGTGCTTTTTGGACTGGGAGAAAAATATATCAGATAAAGGTGTGCATATTGAGTCTATTTAATTCATTTTCAACATAGGATACCTGCCTTATTTCTGCAGTAAAAATGTTCAAAGACAATGGACTATCCGTGAGCAGAAATCACTGTTGTTTACTGACATTGGGAAAATTAATGGAAATAATGAATTCAGTTACTTATTCTTGGTCTAATATAACGCTAAGAAAATTTTAATCTATTACAAATTGTGTTATTAACTGTAAATAATTAATTTTTCTATCTTACTTCTAAGGACAGATCACTCTAATTGCATAAATCTACCCTATAAGTAGAACTCTTTAGTGTGCAGTGTTTAGAGCTTCCTTAAGAATTTTTCTTCAAGATTGTTTTTCTTAGCAACTTCAATTCATTGAAATTAATGTTGGGGGTGTGGAGAAGGTATTTAGTAGGGATGTGATGAAATGAATGATTTTTCATGAATTGATTTTTGGTGGTTTTAACGGACGATTAATTCTATCATTAAATTGACTTTATTGCAATATTAGAATTACATGTACATTGCATACATGTTCTGCATAAACTTTGAAACACAGATGGGTATATTTTAATAAATAAAAGCTAGACAATATCTACACAGTGTAATTTCCCATCTAAGTAATTGTTTAAGTTAAGAGTTGCATTGTAAGAAATCAAAAACGGAGATTACATTTATGTCATGTGTAGCTACATTATGAATACAATTTGAGTCAATGTGTAAACCTTTTTTTTTGTTTTTGTTTATTGTTTAACGTCCCTCTTGAGAATTTTTCACTCAATGGAAACGCCACCACTTGCTGGTGGAGGGCTGCAAATTTAGACCTATACTCGGCACTCAGGGCCATTGAGCAGTGAGAGATCTTTTTCATGCCAGCACCTACTGTGACACGGGACCTCGATTTATACGGTCTCATCCAAAGGACCGGTCTCCACGTCCCACAGTGGGATTCAACCTGCAACATAATGATCAACTCCTTACACTGTGACTCTAGAGCAAACGCTCTGACCACTGCACCACGCGGGCGACTGTAAACCATTGTCTCATGTACAAGTGTTTAATAAGCAGATTTACATCCATTACAATTATTGCTGTTTTTTTTTAGTCAATACGACGATTTACAGGTGTAGCTATCTGAAGAGTACAATATTCACCATACCAAAAGGGTGAGGTGAATGCTGTACTTCAAGGGTTGCTTAATCATCATATTGACTGAAAAAACAACAATGAATGTTTTATTTATGATTCAATGATATAAAATCATTTAGTGAACCTAGCCATCTTTCCTGATTGTTTACATTTGTTGAAGTCCTAGCTGAGAGAAACGGGATCAAAATAAACATAACCAATTGTATCAATTTGGAATTTCTTGATCTATTTTTGGTCCACTGTACATAAAATTAAATGTCATGTTCACCTGGAAGGTCAAGTGCAGGTGAACATAACTTAGCAACTTTTCTATTTTATCGTATCTCAGCTATCAGAGAGCTAAGATGTATTCAGTAATATAATAAACTTATTTAACCAAGATATGACTGTTTCTTTGAAAATAATAGTGCCAATTTTGCCATAATCCTAACAATAATGTTATTAGGTATACTATGGTGCAATGGGTAAATTACACAAAATGTAATACATCTTTGGCAGTAGCACTATAAACTTTCTCTAACCCTCTGTAAACTGTCTTACATAATATTAAGCACTTTCCCTTTCACCCTTCAATCCCTAACATAACAGTACATACTACACTTCAAACACTTCCTTCCGTAAACTACAGTAAAATAATCAACATGTTTAGCACTGTTACACTCTGTATTGTCCAACACAACAGTATGTTACACTCTCCTTTTTGTCCCCTATTATCTTTTTCTGTATAGTTACTTGTATCAGACTGTTTCTTACCCCCTGTTTTCTCTTGGTGAACAAATTCTTTGTCTTCTCCATCTTCACACTGAACAAAAAAAAAATAAACAAGGTGATCAGTGACAGAGTTATAAATAAAAATATTCAGTTTTTGTTTTCCCTGTCTGTTTGTACATGGAAACAAATATATGTTCATTATTTAAGTTTTTGTTATCTATATACTAGCACAGATAGTTGAGGTTCTAGTGCACAATATTCATGAATAGACTGAAAATTACCAAGGACTTTAGCAAAGGACAAAAATAAATCTTATCAAATTTCTCTGTGTGAAAGTATTGGAGTGATACTGATTAAAGTAACTTTTATGTATCCTTGAGCAAAATATAACTGCCAAAATTTTAAAAATCTGGAATTTTGTTTGTTGGATTTGCATTTTTATCCTACATTAAATATACATTAATATAATACTATAAACTATGTTCATTTTGACAAATTTATAACATACCTGGTACACAGGATACTACTGAAGTTTAACTGAGACTTTTTGATTTCAATAAAGCCCCCATCATGGGGTATATTAGTAGAATGAATTTTTAACTGAACAAATCAACACGTGAAAAGTTAGTATTTTTTCCAGGTATTCAAGTATTTTTAAGAGTTATGTCCCTTAAAATCTGCAGTCAAAGATCTAATTTCAGCTGACATGGTTTATTTGCCAACAAAATATTAAATCATGCTTATGTTAACTCAAATCACTGTTAATTAACATGGGAACAATAATACATTACCCTAAATTTCATCTTTACTACCTGCATGGTTTATCACAAATTTTGGTGAAAAAAAAGAGAAACTTTATATTGAAATTCAGAATGCATGCAGGACCTATATATATGTAATATGTAAGCAATATCCTTTACTTAATCATCAATAGCAAGAAAGTTGCTTTACTGTAATCTTTTCTTCATATTTCTATCAGTGTTTGAAATAACCTTGCACATGACTGAGACGCACAAATTTTGCTCCGGGCGAACAAAGAAAGGAGGCATACAAGACGAGGACAATCCCCTGCTCTGAGGCAATATATTTCTCTATTTTCAAAGGTTTCGAAAAGTTTTATTTTTCTAAAATTATGTTGTCACTGACAGTAATGCCATCTTCAACACCTTTGATTCATTTATTTTATTGAATGACTTATTGATTGATAATTGGTTCTTAAAGTTGACAGTCAAGCATATTTAGTGGAAAATAGGTATATTGGAGCCATAAAATAATATTTTTGAATATGAATGGATCAAGTCTCCATTCTATATTAACATTTAAATGATGGAAAATTAAATGTAAAATCTATTTTATGTTTAAAAAAAGACGAGTCTTAATCCATTCTAGATGAAAATCGAATACTTTTAGAAAAACTATGTTTCAACAAATTTGTTTATTTAAAGCACACTGACACACATCAACGACAAGAAGACCTCGTGGTGTAGTGGTTAATGTGTTCAGTCTTACACCTAACCTTGAGCTTTGGAGAGAGTTTGGATCATGTGTGAAGCTCTTTTTTTTCTTTTCACAAACCTTAAAAACATAAGTGAAAAATAAAATTATTCATCAATAAGTTATTCATTAAAATAAAGGAAACAAGTGTGCAAAAGATGACACTGACAATATAATTTTTGAAAAATATAACTTTTCATGCACTTTTAGAATTGAGAAATGACTTTTTCAGAGCTGGGGATTGTCCTTGCATGCCTTCATTCTTTGCTTGTCCAGCTGGATGTGTTAAAATTAAATTCATATACATGTATTTGATAAATTTCCCTCAGATCAACTAATAGAACATGTATCGGTAGCGAGGTGCAACAAACCAAGAAGCAGAATTTGTCAGTCTATAGATTCAGGATCAAGGCAAAGGTAACCTGGTTCCAGTCACATAATCGCTAAAAACAAGTTTATAAAAAACAATTATTTCCTTGGTCTAGTAGACCTTTGGCAGGGCTGACAACTTTTATTAGCAGTCAGCCCTTCTTGTCTAGCTAATTTCATAGTGAGTTTCAAACACTTTTATAACTTTCAAAATAATATTTGTCCTTGACCCAAGTCCCTGACCTCTAGGTAACAGAGTTAACTGACCTTTTCCTCTGTTCCATATTTATCCAGCATCTCCCAAGCTGACTGTTCATCAATTCCTGTAAACAAAAAGGACTCACAGATGATACTGTTATTCATTTTTATGTGTGTTCATTCACATCTTACAAAGAGTCTTCATAATAAGTGATAAATTTACCCCAAAATTTGATCCAAAGACAAATGTTTTCAACTCTTACTCTTCGTTTCTTTTTTTATGAGGTTTGACATTTTAGGGCTTATTGCATGAAATCATAGTTCATATTCTTCAACCGTATTCTATATATGTGTACAGGACTTCAGTGATGTCAGTAAATAAATAAAAAAACAAAGCAGAAAGCAGAATCTCATTACAGACACTTTTGGATATTTCTGACTTTATTTCTTTAAGTGGGCCAGCCCTAAAACAAATTTCTCAGATCTGTGTAAGTTTTAATCTCTCCATCTATTTGGCATTAAGCTAATCTAATTTGATGCGTTAATACCTTTCTTACCCTTTGACCTCTACTAGTATTTTGGTAAAGCACAATTTATCTTACAATATTACAGATGAGGTTTATACCCGCTTGTGCTGTAGCAAAGCCTTCATTATCTTCTTCAGGCATTTCTCCAGCACCAAACTCATGGACCATCTCCAGACTATGTGTCATCTGATTGGTCACTTCTACGTCATGTGATCCAGGTAAGTCATGCTCATTGGCTATAGTCTCTGCTTGTTGCTTGTCTTCACTTGGATTGCTGTTTTTTGGGGGTGGGGCAAATATTTCTATGTCACCTCCTCCCTTCAAACAAATATAAATATCAATGAAAATCTCCTTAGAATTTTTTTTGCCTCTTTTTATCACAGATGTGATGAACTCCAATTTTTGAATTTTGGTTTTTTAAAAATGTATTAATGTTACTTTTTTAGGAAATGAAGTGAGACTCTAATGAAATATACCTTAATCCTCCTTAAAAATTAAAAAAAACATACATGAAATATTTACCATTTTTGTATCTTACCTGAAACCCAAAGTTTGCTGGTGGTTTGAATTTTTTTGGCTTTTTGATTCCCTTCTTCGGAGATGTTGCTTTCTTTGTGCTTTTGGAAATTAAATAAATTGTACTTTTATCAGTAAATTAAAAACATGTGCAAAAATAACTATGAAATGAAATTCATGAAGATTTTGGTTTTAGAGCAGGGTTGTCCCTAAAAATTTATATAGCATAGGACATTAAAAAAAGGGGGGGGGGTCTGGGGTTCCTCCCATAACAGGGAGATTGAGAGGGAATACCAGAATAACCGGGTGATTATGTCATTATAGAAATAAAACCACTGCCTATTGTTATTACCTGGCTTCCTTTTTGGGGATTTCTTTTTGTGTACTAGTATCAGACATTTCAATTGGATTTTTGTCGACCTTTGACCCCTGTGGTGAACCCTCTTCTGGTGACCTCTGATTCTTTGTTCCCTTGACTGACTGATTTTCAGTATCAACAGTATTCACCACATCTGAGTTTTCAGTCACAGAATCGACACTCTCAGACTTGATCTGATTTTCATTGCAATCACTCAGGGGCGGAGACAATCTTAATTTGCTTCTGGATTGAAATGGGTTGAGGGGGGAGTCTGTCTTTGGTGGAGAGAAACCCATTTTGGAACTTGATTGGAATGGATTAAAATCATCCAGGTTGTCAAAGTCTATATTGTACGTTCCTTTTGAAGCAGGCAATGGGATTTCCTCTTCTTCCATGGCCGTTGTTTTGCGTCAATCTATATTTTTCACTAAACTATGGTTGTTTTTAATTCATTCATGTAACCATATGCCTGCAAAATTTCTGTAAAATAAAAATAATTGTGCTACACTCATTAATTGCATACCCCATCTCTAGCTTCCTGCAGTAAAGCTAGTATTCATTAAACTCGTGTTTATAACAGTATAATAAATTGTGCATGTGTAATAAATGTTATTCCTTCTTTCTGTACAATACACATATTGAAAAATATACATAAGTATCAGAAGCATTTTAGAAATGCATATCTGTTAATACAGCGCTATTTATAAACACTTTTTTTGTAAATTACTGAATGATGAGTCAATGATTCGAACAGGTGATAGTTTGACCCCTATATTTAGATAAACAAAGATTTGCCCTGAAATATGACTTAAACTATTTCTCGTATTAATGTGAAATATTTATAAGATCTGTCTTTAATCATCTTATTTACCATAAAATCGTATATTCAACCATTTCTATCTCAAATTTTAGGTCTGGTCTTTGCGACAAACAGATGAAGTTTATTGACAACTTCCTCACCTCCTTTGCTTGAAGAGCGAACAAGAGAGTTAACTCCAATTCTTCACTGGTCATCAGAAGATGATCGAATTTGTGATCCATTTAGGAGATGAATTCCACTACCTTTTAGAATGTGCTTTTTTCAAAAGAAAACGAAATAAACTTGTTCCAAATATTTTTTTTATGCAAACCCTAATTAATGTTATCAAATTTCATGACCTGTTAAATAAGGACACTCTTGAAAGTCATTTTTGGACTTCCCAAATTTTGCAAACTTTTATTGTCAGTAATGAATTAATAATAACAAAACTAATGTGTAACATATGTTGTAATACATATAGATTTATTTTATACTAGCAGAGGCCTTCTATACTTTGATGAACTATACATGTATATAATTAGTGCCACTCATTCGTCAGCTGTTCACGCGTTCATGCTTATATATATGTTATTTTGTTGTATCATTTCATCATTTCTATTCATATACCCCAGTTGGGGTCTTTTTCTTAAATAAAAACTTGAAACTTGTCACGGGTTTATTGTAGCATTGCAATTTTTTTCTTTGTCCAACATTCTGAAAATCAATTCACATTATATTGTGCATCTAACAGAACGTACAAGGTTGCATTTGATTTGGATGCGCGGCAAAGTGAAAAATTTCAATGATCCGCCACAAGATATTTCATCATTTATACATCGAGTTCCCGCTATTGTGTTTTTTTCCTATGAATTTGCTATCTCTAGGTCGTCTTTCCAGGATTTTAAAACTTAATTTGTGTGCATTTTAATTAACTCAACTTTTTTGTTAAAAAAAATTGAGAGAAGATCCAGATATCAGAAAATGAATTCCAAAAATATCACATTGTGTAAATATGCTGCTTTATTGTCGTTTTATAAAACCCAATTTTTGTGTGATTCGGCGGCGATACCACAGCGGTAGGGTGTCTTACTAACACGGAAAGGAATAGATAAGTTTTGGTTCGATCCTCGCATGGAGCATTCCCATGTAATTAAAAAAAGATAAAGTCGTTTGTCAGTTTTATTTTATCTACTGAATAATTAAAATCAAAGATACATTAAATTTTACATTGTATTGCACCGACAGCGAAAGCAATTCTTATCACCCTGTGATATTTCATTAATTTTCATTTAACTATATCATATATGTCGGTTAGGGCAGAGAGGTCTGAAGGCCTTTGCATATACCTTTTTTTTTTTTTTTTTTTTTTTTGCCGTTTTCTAATTAGGTTGAGAATTATATGAACTATGAAGATAAGCAGACTTAAATATTACAATTTTTGACAAGGTATTTCAATTTTATGTAACTTTTTCCTGTGTGCGTAGTTTTTGTTATGTCTGTATAACCACATGAAGCTGTGGTCAGCCTATCAAATTTATCAAATCTGATTGACATTTTTATGAATGATTCATACACCCCTGCAGATTACACGCCAAATATGCCCATTTTCTTTATTAATACATACATGTATAGTTACTCAAAATAATGAATACCAATCTAAACCAATGGGTATCTTTTGAACCGTTTGCATTAGGGCTTTGACATTAACTGCAGGCCTGTGGTACGCTTGGGTGGGGGTGGGTTACTTTTTCATAGAAGGCTGTTGTCGAAAAATTACATGTATGGATGGATATTTTCATACTTATGGCGGCTAACCACCTCCCGTATTTTATTGTCCAGAACCTTCTCACGTTATTGTACTGACCAGAATTTGTTTTTCAGCTACTTTTTTTTCCAGAATATTTTTTTTGTTATTGAACACCCTATCATTTGAGGACTGCAATGCTCTTGTGGGAATTGAATACCATGCATGCTGGATCATTGACCACGTCATCTAAAACTTTCTTAGAGCAAAGTGCTCACAGAGGTTGTGATAATGTGAAACTGAACTTGACATTTGACTTATTTAAAAACAAATGCTAAATTTCGTCTACATCCATGATTCGCGAGAGGTAAGACCACGAATATGGCCATCCTCGCAATGCCAGGGGTCCTGAGTCAACACGTTGCCGTTAGACCCCTGGCAAATTTCATTCAATATTTTGTGGGCTGACTGAAGCGACGTCCTTCGGAAAAATTACAAATCTTGATTGTTTTTCTTATCGAATGAAATATGCCAGTGGTTCAACAGCAACGTGTTGACTCAGGACCCATGGGACCACAGGCCTTTGGATCGCTTAAATCTGATTTTAAAAAAATTGGGGTGTATAAAAAAGATACACTCCAATTTTTTAAAGTCGGATTTAAGCAATCCATAGGTCAATGCTCAGGACCACTGGCACTGCGAGGATGGAAATGGCATGCATATAGATGTATATGCCTTGTCAAAAGAAAGTGTCGAGATTCATACATTGTCCGAGAATAATTTTTTTCCTTCAAATTGCGATTCGGGGTTAGAACTAAATTTATCAAAATTGTGTGAGGGCACACTACAAAAGATATCGGCATGACACCATTACACTTACACTGGACCATCTCTTTTATAGGAAGAATTTCGCCATTTTCTTGATACACGCTTTGATGTCTAAAATGTATTTTGTCAAAAGACCTTTATTTATTTAACACTTCTTGATCTTGGTTTATTTTTTGAATTGTTAAAAAAAATAGTACTACAAAAGCAAAAGTGGCTTACATAAATTTTATATGAAATTCACATGAATTTCATATGAATTCTTTGCATGAGAAAAAGACGAAAACATCAAGACATGTGAAATTTATGTGAAAATGCCAAGCCATTTTGACATAACTTTCATATGAATTTTAAATGAAGAGCATATCGCATAAATAAGAAAACTTCAAATGAAAGTTCTAAAAAAAAATTATGTGAATATCATACAAACTTATTCACATGATATTCGCATGAAAAAATATTTGTATAATTTTTACATGATATTCACATAATTTTCAAATAAAAAGATAATCACATAAATATGTCAGCCACTTTTCTCTGTGATATAACGGACCAAATTCGCAAATGTAATACAAAATGTAATTGATACATGAGTGTATTCAATATATAATTAATGGTCAACAAAAACACACGCCGTCAGTTTATATCTCATGTACGCTAGGAATGATAGAAAAAAATAAGTCAATTGCTATTGAAATTCGTGTCTTCCTTCTTAAGAGAGAGAGAGAGGGGGGAGGGAGGGGGGTGAGAGAGAGACTATGCGTGTGTGCTCGCATTATAAATATATGCAAAGAACATCGTTCGGTACATTTGCGCCTCCGCTTTCCATTATGAATTCACAACTTAAAGTAAAACAGAGGTACAAATTGTCACTAATTTGTCTTTGGGGGCAAGTTGACACAATATATGCAAACTAATGATAGATTCAATGTTCCACCAGCCGAGCACGGATGATGGATCTGCACAATAGAACAGAAGTTTTGTCCCCCCTACAAAAATTGATGAAATAGGATAGTCGTTCAGACTGTTCGGGAAATAAAAGGACATTTTTAAGTTTGGCAATTTAACATTTGCTCTTCAGAAGTCCCGGGCGATCGTTAAGGTAAGCTGAATTACTAAAGAACGACAACTCTTGATAAAGAAAATTAAAGATTTACACCGAAAACATTTATTTATTTATTATTTATTTATTTTATTAAATATTTCACGAGAAATAAAAATAGAAGCATCTCTGTTAAAGAGTGGTGATTGTTTGTTGTTGTTTGAAACAGAGATAAGAAATAAAGATAACTGTGTTTACTACTTACACTTCTCTCTCTCTCTGAATGTATGTATCTATAATTATTTTCAGGGTCCAGCACAATGCGGGGTCTCTTCCTAGTGATTTTAGCGGCGGCGGCAGTGGTCCGCGGTAATCTTTACAGGGGACCGCGATTTATAGATCTCGGTATCGTAGGGATTCTCCGACCTGTCACCATAGGCTACAATCGAGAGACTCTTAGTAGACTTTCTGCCTTTGACAGACTAACCAGTTCCTCAGTGAGTGATATTGGTCCTACATTCGTGGCAAGTGGAGTAAGCGGAGGATCCACTATCGGCCCCGGGCCATATCTGGCCGGAAGCAGCGTCACAGATGTCTCGAGGACCATAGCGCCATTCAGTTCAGGGCCATTATCAGGAGCTGTCGAGGCCTATGAGGGCATAGGGCCTATCGTTGGACCAGGCTCCAGCGGACCTTATTTTGATGGCCCATTAGACACAACAGATGGACCAGATATCGGACCTTTAGATGGACTCTCTGGACCTGTTTCCAGTGACGGATTGAGCGTGGGACCTGGAGCCACTTTTGGAGGGGGCGTGACTACAGTCAGATCAACCAGAGTTTCATTTCCTGGTCCAGTAGGAACATATCCAGAGGAAAACCAGCCCTATTATGATGGACCATTTGATAATCCATATGATGGACTGGATTCATCTCCTTATGATTTAGGAGGTTTTGGTGAACTGGGTGGAGTAGGATCTGGAGGCGGTGTTGGCGGAGGAGTAACAACAGTTAGAACAACCAGATATTCTCCCGGCCCTGTAGGAACATACTCTAGATTGGATTCATATGATGGATTGGATTCATCCCCTTATGATTTAGGAGGCTTTGATGGATTGGATGGTGTAGGATCTGGAGTCGGACGGGTATCAACCGTTAGAAGGACCAGATATACGTTACCCGGAGTGACTGTACCATCCATTTATTACACTAGAGGTTCTACTGGAGGGGGCAACTATTTTGATTTAGGGTACGACTTCCCTGGTGACGGCGATTATGACAGACTGCGTTTGTTGTCGGGCGGGTCAGGTTTTGGCGGAAGTTACGCAAGAGATATACAATATTCACTCGGGGGCCGTTCCGATGGTTATTACATTAATCCGTATAGATTTCGGGACTCTGGAATAGGACTGAGGGCTGGAGTGGGAGCTGGAGCTGGAATAGGACCAGGAGCATTTGGAGATGTTCGTTCTTCATTTTCTGCCGGCGGAGATACTAGTATCGATTCAGCAGCAGCAGCATCAGGAGGAGTTGTCGGAGGCTTGACATCAGGATCTACTTCCGGTTCAGAGGGGTACAGCATTACGGATCCTAGAATCATGCCCAACTATTAATTTAAGGTAATTAGGTCTTATGTCGAAAAACATATTTTGATATACATTGACTTGAAAAATTCTTGAGATAAAAACCATGCAAATGGGAATGCTTAATTTTTTTTATTAAAAAAAGACAATCTCTCTATTTTTGCCCCTCCCACCACCCCCACACATGGGGAGAGAGCTAATGATGATATTGAGCCATTTTACTTGTGAGACATGTTAAAAATGTAAAGTTTTTTTTTTATTGTTTTCTTTTATGAACTAACTCTTAGTCTTCACTTTCTGTAAGTTCTCTTATTAATTAGACAATTTATTAATAGTATTTTATTTTCCAGATTTACGAGCCTGACTTCTGAAGGGTAACTCTAAGCACGCTGAGTTTCTACACCATTAACACATTGTAATTATCATTTATATCAGACGCCCGGGGATTTTTAAATAAAACATCAAGCACAAACTCTTGACTTTCATACTCCAATCCTTACTATGTATTGTGGTTATTCAGAACAATGTTCTGCTATGGTGAAAAAAGTAGAACAATTGCATAAAATTATTCGATGTTATGCAGTGTGTGAAGTGATCGAGTTGTTTCTCATGCTGGAGGGTCACTACTGTCACACTGGTGCATATATATGGATCTGACAGATCCCTAAATTAAAAGACACGATCGAGAAGCAGTAAACGTTTGGGTCTATCAACTCCTTCTCAACATTTCAATGCAAGAAATAGCAATAAATGCACAAAAAAGTTGAAAACTGAAGAATTTATTAAACACCCCCCTTCTCCAACATTCATGAAAGAATTTTGATTTCTCGGAACGCTTTTTAAATTTTAACTTAAATTTTTCCGACACAAAAAAGGGACAATTTCCATTCAAAAGCATATTTTTGCAAGACAAGGGTTTTTCAGTCTGCTACAATAGCATACTAAATCTATGTGTATAGAAGACTAATACAATGAATGGGAAAGACATAAGGTGAGAATATTGAATATCATAGAAAATCCATAATTTCTTAATAGTTTAGGAATAGGTTATTTGCATTTTTTACAACCAGAATAAGTCCAAAAATATGTATCAATCCATGTATCCAATATTTTTGTTCATTTCATTTGAAAAAAAAAAAGTTAATTCGTTGTCTTGAAGAATAATAAGCACTATTTCACTTTGCTATTTAAAAAAAAGAAATCTTGCACACATATAGCAAACTCCTTTTATGACCAAGGAACATTTATATATAAAAATTTAAGAAGGAGAAAAAAAGCAAGAGACCCATGGGGCACAACGCTAACCCGAGTCATTTTGGCCTATCATGTTCGTCAGAGGAAGATTTAAAAAAGATCTTTTCCTCCTCTTTATTCACATGAAAAAATCTGACCCGTTATCGTTACTCCATTTTAGCCCCGAGGGATCAGGACATAAACAAACATGAATACAAACATCATGGGAATGCTTTTATTATAACAATATAACTTATACATGCTCTTACTGTTCTGGAGAAAATTTTTAAATATTTTTTTCTACATTCTAGCATTAGGTTAAGTCTGATCTCCAAGTTAACCCCTCAACTAACCATGGATTCCATAATTTGAAAAAAAAGAAAAAGAAAACCTTAAATCTAAACAACTTGGGAATTCGATATCATTTAGTGTTGCCCTGCTACCCTTGAAAAGAATTTTCATTATTGGCAAGTTTGGTTGAATATGGGCCAGTGGTTCTGCGGAAGTAGGCAATGTTCAAAGTTTACAGACGGACAGACTGCTGGAAAAAAATCTGATCAGAAAAGCTTACAGTTGAGGTGACTCAGGTGAGCTATAAACACTTAGTGCATCACGTCAAGAGTAAATAAAAGAAATGCATGGCAAACTAAGTACTTCGTCACGTCATATGCCTCCACATGGTAATCACAGATTGCATTCAATAAATCACCCGGGGCCGATCACAAAAATCTTGCTATCATATATTTTGCTCTATAAAAAAGGGATACACCAAATAGTAAAAGTATTGATGAAAATCTCTATCATAATACATGATATATTCTTTGAAAAAAATTAAGGGACCTGTATAGCAAACAAATGATTTGGCACGTTATATGCGTGCATTTGGTTTCATCTGCATGATGCAGTCAATCACAAGTGAACAGACAAGGTACGATATTGGCCAAATTTGGTCCCTTATTTCAGAATAAAATTATAGTCGTTTGTAATTAAAAACCATAATTGATGCTTATTTTGAAAACTAGCATTGATTTCGATTCAAAGCATACCCAGAGGCTCCAAGATTGTGATAATTAAATAGAAAATTTCCAACAATTCCACATTTTTAAATACTTTTCACTTTGGAAAACACAAAGCACAAGCTAGGCTGTCGATGAGAGGCAGTAGCTTGCATATACATGCGCGGATCTAAAAAAAAAAAAGGGGGGGGATCGAAGGGTCCGGAATCACATGGAATTTTCAGTTATCAAAGGACAGGGTATGGGAATGGCCGAATTTGGCCCCATATTTGATGTAAAAATCAAACGACAGTTAAAATTGTGACAGTTTGCAGTTAAGAACTTTTAATATTGCTCGTTTTAAAATCAGCACTAATTTTTACTGAATTTCCTCAATTCTGATGGAATTTCGTTCACTTCGGGAAACATAGAGCACAAGCTTGCTTATATGAGATTTTATACACAAGATGCATTAATTTTCTAGTGCATACAATATATAAATTTGGCAGATAGGCAATCTTGTGCTCTGTGTTTTCTATAAATGTGCTATAAAATTGATGAAAATTTGCATAAAAATGAGAAAATTCGGAAGTTGGCACAAAAACCTTTTGTACCCCATGCCTTAGGATCAATACTCATTTTGTAAGAGGGATGACAACAAGTTTTAAATGATGAAATATTTCATCGTTCTTAGAGACACCACAAATCAGGGTCAAAATGGGTGCTTAGCCTCTCTTATCCTTTATATATTTTAATGTATATACTAACAAACAATGACCTTAAATCCCCAAGAAAATACGGACCCCTGGTATATGAATGAAGGGAATAGACTTGTCTCAAATCCCCCACCCCAGCCAACGAAATAGGTTTTAAGGTTTGAAGAAGTAAGCTGATTTTTTTTTTTTGGGGGGGGGTTGCTTGTCAAAGAACTTTTGAATCGGAACAAACCCCCACCCCACCCCCCAAGGAAAAAAATAGATCCGGCCGTTCATGTCCTACTAGTATTTGCTTTCCGAAATATATGTTTGAAAGTTGATGAAAATGTTAATAAAATTGAAAAAAAAATGAATTTGTGGAAATTTGTGATCCTATCACCTTAAGCTTTTAGAGCTTGAAAATCAATATATTCACTTTAAAGAAAAGGTGGTCACTTAGGTCACAAATTTTTAATATGAATTTTTTGCTTCATTCCGAGAGATACACGAAGAAGGGAACTACAAAGGTCCCTTTGTCAGCATAATTATGTAACTTAAATTAGTTACATGCAAGTAGCTCACATGTTGACATTAAGTCGCATATCAGTAAAAATATCTTGCATTATTCATGTACGATGTCAAATCCAGGCGTTAGTTAGAAAATTGAAAAATATTAAACATCAGATTCTCTGAAAAGATTTGCAACTTGCAAGTAATATTAATATTTTGCATGTACGAGGGGTTATCAAAAAGTTCGTGGACTGAGTCGATAAAATTAGTACTATGTAGTCTGTGCTTTCAAAATTTATTAGGAACATAAAACAACAAAAAATAAAGAAATTTTGAAAATTTTAGCTTGATACGTTCATTATTTGCCAAATTATTATAAAATGAAAACGACATTATATGATCACCCGGCGCTGTCTCCGTTTAGTTTCATGACGTCCGTCGGACGTCGTTGTTATTCAATTTCCGATTCTTCTACCTCATACTCTTACCTTGATGAGATTCCCTGGAGTTGAGCAAGGACTTAAACCCGTCCCGCATATAATATTGCAAATAGATTTATACATAAGGAGAGATCCTCGCTTGATTATGCCAGCATATTTTGCTTTTTGAAGTTCATAATCTATCACACATGATCAACTTCATTTTTTGACGTGATTGACTTTTCACACATTGACTACAAATCGACATTAACTGTGCATCCCTTTTCTCGCTGAATCCATTTTGGCATTAAAAAGACAAGTACTCTAGATGCATTTTATTTCTCTGTAGCCAGTTTAAAGATTTCATAGGCCTATACCAGTTTTTTTTAGGGACAAAACTTTGTAGAATGTTGGAAAAAGAAACCCCTCTCCCTTTTTGACGTCATTTTCAAGCCCTTAATTGTTTGGACACTCCAAACAAAATTTACGATAAAATTTCATAGAACTTACAGAATGAGGTAAAAAATGCATATTTTACGGAACAATAGTGTCCCATTGATTATGAATTAACGGGATTTTTGGATGTCAAAATTAATGTTCATAACAAAATAGTTTTTCTCAGTAATACTCAGGTCAAAAAACGTCATATTCGAGGTTGCGCCGCCTGGACATACCATTGCTTACAAAAACATTACTAATTTATTAAAAAATAAAATTTATGATTTATGGTTTATTCTTTAGATAGAAAAGATGATGCTAACTAAATATTTTAAAAATTCATTAATGTACCTAAAGCGGTTTTAATTTTATGGCGCTAGTCCACGAACTTTTTGATACCCCCTCGTAGATATAATTATTTGCATGTTGTCCTAATTTATTTTGCATATAGGGGACAGAAATTGACATCATAAGATATATATATGCTGCATGTTGACATTATTATCTTGAATGTGGACATCTTCTTTAGAAAAAAAAAGAACTTGCATGTTGTGGACATAAATATGCCATCATAGGTCAATGATCCATAATTGTACTGCTTTATTGATTTTGTCAAATAAGAGGTTTATCATAGAGCCTCTGTCATGTTTTTGGAATGTTATATGGTAAAAAGTAAATGTACAAGTGTTTGAAAACATCACCCACCGCTTTGTGTGTTTGTACATTTCCTGAGAAAAAATCAACTATTAGTAAACTCTAAAACCTTTTCTCACCTTTAAACTCCACCTACAGATGTTATAAATATTGATTCTTACCACTTAATTAAAAAATTGTTTTCACTTACTATGTTTTTCTCGTTACAGACCACAGGTTATAGTTTCCTTAGCAAAACTGAGTAAAACTGACTCTATTCCAGATACCCGTATTCGCGATAACACTGCTAACATCCCATTTGTCTTAACAATATTAAATTGCAAAGAACTACATGTTTAATAACAAAAGGCCCATGGGCCACATCGCTCACCTGAGCACATTGGGCAGGCAAACGCACAAATCATTTCGGTATTGAAAAGATTACGGGGGGGGGGGGGGGGGCTTGAATTTTAAACTATCTGATGATGCTTCCATATCAATATAACAAATGGCTTTCTTGTGCTTGAGAAGATTTAAAAAAAAATTCCC